GAAGTGGATAACTGATAATGATAATAATAAAAAATTAATATGTATAGATAAGTGATAGTGTAGTCTGAATGTAGGTATCAGTATATTATTCTCATAGACATGATATCACAAAATAAGCTAGGATTATTTATAATCCTAGCTTATTTTGTGATATTATATCTATGAAAATAATTATTATTAAAATTTAAAATATATAATTATTTTACTAATATCAGCCTAATATTATTAGATTTTTTTTTTTTTTTTTTTATTGGTCCAACAAAACCTCGATACTGAGTAATTTTTATTAAGTAGATTATAGGTTTATATTGGTTAGTGAGAATACAATTAGTCACACATACAACTTTAATCATTGTCTATTTAAAAGTTCTGCTTGGAGGTTATCTACTAATTGCCATACCTAGTATCTATTTGTGGATACTCTATTTAAATACTTTGGTATCCCTGTCATCCCTAATACTAACTTAATTTTATTCTTAAATCTGCACAATCATATGCTGCCTCAATGAGAACCACTCAGACTGACTTTGTGCCTTAGTTTCTCTTATTAGGAGGGCTCTATCTCAAGGTACCCTTTAATCCTTGTCAGGAGAGGCCTGCAGAATACCTTAACTATGCTGTGCTATATCCCAATTAAGCTAGTATATACTCTTATAGATATTTGTACAAACCTAGTTTCTACTGTAGCTCTCTACCAAATTAGTTCTTCATATATTCAGAAGTTTCACAAGTCAGATCCTCCTAAATCTAGTTAGCTGCCAAGCCAGTTTGGTGTTGCTACTAATATAAGGCATCAGACTGTATTATATAGCAGACTTACTCATATCTACTCGATCTGCAACTTTCATATACAAACTTCTTTTCTAGATCAAGCATTAACTGGTGTGACTGTTAAAATTTGTACTACTTTACCTAATTCAGGATTTCTACTATACAGATCCCTACTCATAGATCCTATTAAAATTTATTCATGCAATATAACTCGAACATTGCATCATACTTCTAATATCCGATTGATATTGGTGTAACATGATTTACAAGGTTACAACCTCTAGAAATGAACAGGGTTTACTGAAAGTTGAATACAAAGGTCTAGATAATTATTTAAATTTATTGACAATGATATTTGAACCTCAGATCTCTTACATAGCTGTCTGACAATCTAACTACTATACTAAGATCGCTAGACCTTAATATTATTAGATTAAACAGCTGTTTTACAAAATAATTGATCCTTATGTGAAATGATTTTAGCCTAAAAACAAGCAAATAATTGAATGCTACTATGAGGATAACATTAATGATACTAGTAAACCTCCAGATGATTGCCTGAATTAGGTATTATTTGATGAAGCCCTAAAAAAGTATAATTTAATAGCAAAAGATTTTGATGCTGATTATTTAACTAGTGATGAAAACCAGAAAAAAAAAAAAAAAGATGAGCGAAAAGGGCAAAAAAATGAAAGAAGAAGGTAGTAAGAAAAAAAAAGAAAAAGATATAGATAGAGTGGGAGATATTAGGAAGGAAAAAAGTGGGTAAGAGATATTAGGCAAGAAAAAGCTAGGGCAGAAGATATTGGAAAAGAAAAAGCTAAATAGGAGATATTGAAAAATGACAAGGTAGTGTAGAAACAAAAAGAAAAGGTAGCCATACAGATAATGATAATAGTAATAATAATAGAGTAGTACTGTGGAAATAACAAAAGAAAAAAATAGAATAAAGACAAAAGAAAAAAATAGAAGAGGCTGAAGAAAGTGAGAAAGAAACCTCTTCAGATGATTTGCTCTCTAAACATGAGACAACCTTAAGTGAACTATTAACAGCCAAAGTAGCAACAAAAACAGTAGCAACAAAAACAGCAGCAGCAACAACAGCAGTAGCAAAAACAGCAGCAACAAAAACAGCAGCAACAAAAACAGCAGCAACAAAAACAGCAACAGCAAAAACAGCAAAGGTAACAACAGCAGCAACAAAAATAGCAATAGCAAAAACAGCAATAGCAAAAACAGCAACAGCAAAAACAGCAAA